GCTCTAAATTAGTTTCACCTGTTTCCACCTGCTTATAAGCCCCGTTCAGATCAGCTACCAGTGCCAGATGAACTCAAACCTACCGGTGAGAACCTTCCAGCTATTCTGTTTGCAAACCTGTCTGTTACCCGACCTGATCTGCTTTCTGTTACCGAGCCTGTTAGTCCCTGTTTTTGCCTCTGTCTGCCTGCCTGGAAACTTGATTGGCTCTGTCTCTGGGTTTTGGACCCTGTTTTTCCTGTAAGCCTGACCCCCCTCTGTCTGTGAGTACTGGATTTTGGCTAACCTTTGTGGATCTCGGAAACCTAATAGATTATGAACCTGGACTGGACCTGGACCTTCCCTCTTGGTTCTCCCTTTCTGTACTGCTGCTGGATTTGTCATACTGTTGCTGAACCTGGACCCCTCTAAATTACGTCCCTAGTGCCCCACTGGAAACTTCCGTCTACCTGACGGCCGCCAACGGGCTCTTGCCCCAGCAAACTCTGTCTGCAAGCGGGCTTCAATGGCTCTCAGTTGAGCACAGCAGTGTGCCCTGCACATTAAACTTTTCCCCTGTTCTTTCCTGTAATAAAGCCAGTTAAAGTCACTGACCTGTCTTGGTTGAATCTTGGGTCAGATTCTCGTACATTACAAAAAGCACATTGAACAATCTCTAACTCAGCTTTATAGACCAAAGTAAGTAATAATATTGATAAAATATTCCTGATCATAAACAACATAGGGTCCACCAATTTACTCATATATGTATCGATTTGATGTACATCTCGTTAGCAGTAATTATCCTGTTAGCTTTGATTTGTCTTCAATAGGGTTTGAGAATAAATTCTAATATTTAGAGTCACCAAAAAGTCACCAACAAGTCAAAATGTTTGTTAGATTTGCGTTTACCTTATTAGCATTCCTAATAAGAACTGTTTTCGTATGTTTGTGCATTCACAGGAGAGTTCCACCGCGCATTTTTGAATTTATTTTTGTCACAAAAAGAAATTCCTCCCCCAGTACAGGTGGAGGAAATTAAGGAACAGACAAGTTTTTAGAGGGAAGCTTCTAAACAAAAGGCATTAGATCAGTTGCAGGAGTTAGCTCTGTCGGTTGTTGTCGGATCGAACCCCAGCTCCCTGGCTTTCAGTTTTGTTGTGTCCTTGGGCAAGACACTTCACCCTCATTGCCTGTTGATAATGGCGCCTGTCCATAGCAGCCTCCCTCCTGTCAACAGGCCCCAGGGCAGGTGTGGCTATTATGTAGCTTGCCAGCAGTGTAAATAACATCAATAACTGAACTTAGTGTAAAGTGCTTTGGTCAAACCTCCTGACTTTAAAAGCACTATAGGGATAAAAGCCATTTACCATTTCATGCTTTAAAAAGTCTCCCTCTAATAACGGGATGCTACATTAGAAGCTGCTTAGAATAGAAATATTTTAAATCAGTTTGTAATAAAATTTAATTTGTCCTTTCAGTCTATCCATCCCTACTGCTGTGTGTGTATGTGCAATGGTGGGTCTAGGTAGAGGATCTTGATTTCTTGTTTGATTTCTTTTTTAGCTGTTTGATTTCTTTTTTAATCTATGTTAAACACTTTGGGGATTTTTTATTAGTTTGCACAGTATATTTTTGTAATCCTTATAATGATTGTGATGCACAACTGATGTTATTCATTTCAAATTCACAGCAAAACAATTTTGCAGTGTAGGAACTGATATCTATGAATACATTGTCTTGTTTTGTAATCCTTATTATAAATGGGGTACTGTATGTACCTTAATGTAAATGTCTGATTTAAGCTATGCACTGCAAAAAAAAAAACAATCTAGAAATAAGTACAATTTTCATAAATTAAGAGTTTTTACCCTTAATTTGAGTAGGTAAATAAGATGGTTTACCAATGGAATTAGTAGTTTTACTCATAAAATAAGATTAGATAATATACACTTCCAATAAGTCAATGCAATTATTTTTTCTTATTTTAAATATACGTTGTCTTGTTCCATTGTCAAAGTGTCCCACCTACCTCCCCAATTCAAGAATGAATTATTTATTTATATTTCATTTTTTTTGCAGTGTATTTCAGTAATCATCCTTTTTCTAATAATTTTCTCCACATGCCTAATCTTATTCCAAATGTTGCAGGGGGCTGGTGCCTATCGCCAGTGGTCAATGACAAAGAGATAAGATACACTCTGAATATGTTACCCTAAGTCAACACAGGACCAGTCAGGATAGACACAATTACACACACACAGACATTATTTACAGTACACCATGACTGTAAATCTGATTTTGCTGCATGCACTCTGATGTCATAGATTCCCAAAAAAACATTGAGAGTTGCAGCCAGGAAATTGGTAAACTATGTCACGATCACAGGTTGTTCACAGGTTTTGTAAGAACTGTAAAATAATATACCTAACTTCACAAAGAGAAAAATCCTAAAGCAGAATTTGTTTTAATGTTAAGTGCAGATAGAGAACTTTAGCCTTGAAATGGAAGACCTTAGTAAGTGATCAAATTTCTGCAGATAAACACAGGGACATTTCTCACTGATTGGTTGCGAAATCTTTGTTGCTTAACTGAACATAATAGTTCAACGATCAACTAACAGAAGTTACTCAAGTTTGTGAAACCCAACAGCCGCTGTACTGGTTTTTGTACTGTTTGATCATCGGAGGCAAGTACAAAGGTAAGAGGCGGTATCAGTTCTTACACTTAGCTATACAACAAAAACACTTTTCCCTTTCATGCAAACTATTAGGTGATAAACTTTTTTATGATTCAGACACTGCATCACATAAAATATTACAGACACCATTATTATTTCCTGCAATCCCTGTCTTACAAATAACACATTAGCATGATGTATTATACAGCCTGTACGACACAACAAAGATGGAAAGATTAGGAAAAAAATAAGTAACACTTTAATTTATGGGGTGTATGGTTCCTTTTTAATCATTGCATACCTTTCTTGAAAAATTTAAAAAGATAGATACAAGTTTAGAATTTTTGTACAAATCTTTGACACTCTTCTTGTTTTTTGACCTTTTCAAAATACAGATTTTCAAAAGAGAAGATGATGTGGTTTGTTAGAATTTGCAACTATGTTATATATGGGGAGAATATAGCAAATGTAGGGAAACAGTTTTTACTGTTGTATTTTTTATTTGAAACACTGTTTTTACATTTCCTGCTTTTTTCTAACATATTATATAACATATATGTTATATATGTTAGAAAAAATATATATAACATATATGTTATATATATATATATATATATATATATTTTTAGGATTAATTTAAGATATGTGTTCAAATTTAGATTAAAATATACATTAAAGCTTTAAGATATATATTTATATTTAGGATTGAGACATTGAAAATAGATTTCGATATAGATAAAAATTTAACATATAAAAATATACGTAGATATATAATGCAAACTTTGATGTAACATACAGTACTGTATACATTAATAATAAAAATATAGATTTAACATTTATATTTAGTGATTATCCACTAAATGTTAAAAAACAATAAAAGTCCACTAAATATCAGAAATTTTAAAGTTAAATTTTCCTTTTCAAATAATTAAAAATTCTTTTATTTTTTTCAGTTTTCAACTTAGAAACTTTAAGAGTGAAGTTGGATCATCTTAATTCAGTTACTTGTTACCAATTGAAGCAACTGATATAAGTTGCAGTAGCTTTTTCTTTTTAGAGTGTAGAAACCTGTGTTCCCTCTTTTATTTATATTTTAATAAAATGAAATGGACTTCACTTGCACACTCATACACTAAAATCCTATAATTTGATTTAACTTTGATGTTTTTATTATGGTTAAGAATTCTTTTTCCACAGTGCAGCTGTTGTTACATGATTATTATGTGAGGGATGGCAAAACAAAGTCAAAGTCCCTATTTATGCAAACAAGCTTGTCTATATAAGTTGATTCTGACTGTGATTGTGAATTCAGAGATTGTACCCTCAGATCAGTCAAACATATGTATCTTAATCCCGTCTTCATGTGGGGCTTATGAAGAAAATATTTCTTTAAGATTTTGGTTAGTAGAGGAAATGAAAAACAGGTATATCAAACTTTTTTATGGAAAACTATAGATAACTTCTTCTTTTTTCCAGTGGACAAATTTATGTAATTGTTAAATGGTGGTAACCTCTTAACCATGTTTGACCAATGACTCTGCTTACTGGAATCCTCAGTTGGTAACAAAAACTGAATCTTATCTTAAAGAGGGAAATCAAACGCAATCATTATTAAAGGTATAGTTGAGGATTTTTGCAAATGTTTGAAAAGACCACTTTCAAAAAAAATGCACATGCACAACTCTGTACCTGCTCCCGAGGGGGAACAACTATTAAACTCGTGTGAGAGCGTGCATGAGCCCATTTCACCTTGTGCATGCTCTGTTTAAAAGTTGCTGTTTGCATCGCCCACACAAGCTTACTTTACAAAAGAAGATTTGCAATTTTTCCACTATGTCAGATTCAGCACCGGTAACGTAGAATGGCCTTATAAAGAACATATCACCAGAATGATTAACAATTAGGAGGACCACTTATTTTGATGACCCACCCAAAAAAAGAACATCCTCCACTATACCTCTGAGGTTAAGACAACTTTGCAATGCAGTTAAAAATGTGTTCATGTCTCGGTTCCTTTAGGACAATTCAAATAAAGAAAAAAGTTGTGCTGTCTCTAACCTTTCCAAAACAGCTCTGTAATTGGTGGTATTTAAACAGATGATGTAAAAGATTCTAGGAAATGACTAGAAAAGCTATAGGAATTTCCAACAACTATTAACAACACGATAGGAGTGATAATTGCTCATTTTCAAAATTCCCATGCCATTGGGATGGAGCATTTTCTCAAGTACATATAAATACATGCTTTCTTACTAATGCTATAAAAAGCAATCACAACCCAAAGAGTTTAAACAGTGTAACTGTTAAGATTATAGTTAATGGGTAACCTGTTTAGAAAATGAGGACATCCAGTGCTGTACCCACTACGATGTTGTTACTACTTACTTTTATTTGCTCCCAGAAGATCTCTGCTTCACCCACTATAATGGTAAGAGTCAAGAGTTCTAATTATTTTTGCATGTCTATTATGAGAACATTGTCACATTTGGCTATTTTTATTTTTATTTTTTAGACAAATGTGATGAAAATCCAGATAGAGGAAGCATTAAGTGACAAAAATGAATCACAAGAGTCATCAGAAGAATTGTGGATGGTATGTTCATCTAGGTTTTCTGGATTATGCAGTTCACTAGATTAGATTGTTCACAATCTGATTTACAACAAGATTAATATTTCAGGAAAAGCGGAAAAATATAAGACCTCCACCTCACTGTTTCACTAAAACAAAAATCAGCAGCATCTGCACTATTTCTTCAAAGCCCGTACTGCACCAGCAGGTGGCAATAATGTCGATATTAATGAAATATTAAAACGGTAGATAACAGAGAGGTAGGATAAAGGTTTCTTTATAAATCCTTTCAAAATTATAGTTGCATTTATTTTGAAAATTAATCTTCCATCTCAGACAATACATTATTACTACATCTTGAAAATCATAGATAGTGCGGACAAGGTGAGACAGATGTAGCAAAAGCAATTAAACATCAGCTGGACTGCTGTGGGTTTTAGGATATAAAGGGAGAGCAAGCTACTACCAAATGTCTACATGTTTACACCAAATGTTTACACCAAAGTGTGTAACTATTAACTTCCAGGGCTACATACACATTACAATATGATTCAAACCGTGGTATTGATCCCGACAGGAAATGAAATTGTTTTTTCGGATGTGAATCTGCATAATGAGGACCCTGCTCATGAAGATACACTTGCCTCCTCTAACTTTGAAATTAAAAAAAGAATAAATATCAATAAATTTGCAGGTTCCACAATCTAACAGCATGATTAAGGAAAAGCAATGCTTGAATGGAGTCAGATATTTAAACATATAAATTTTGGAGCAAACTGTATAGTGGCTAAACCTTGAAACTGTTCTAAAATCAGGCCAAAATTTATAGAAGTTTGTAAAACAGTATTCGCTTTGTCACATAACAACACACTGCAGATTTTTCACCCCACACCTGTGCATGTCACTATCATTTACTTTGCTCAAACTAACTATGATATATCGTATTTTCACGACCATAAGGCGCACCGTACTAAAAGGCGCAGTCTCAGTTATGTGTGCTATTACTGTATTTAACACACACATAAGGCGCACCGGATTATAGGGCGCGGGTTTTATATACAGGTACATGTCCTCTACTACGTTTAAATACCTCTACTGCGTATTTAAAAATAGAGCGGGAACAAAACTGAGTATGTTTGTGCTTTATTCATGTATTTATTACAAAGTATTAATCAAACCTGGGAGCTGGCCGTGAGACAGACACATCGCTGATGACACAGAGCGCTGTGATCACTCCTCTGAAACAGTTTATTGACGCATAAATTAACTCAAAATGCAGAAATCTGCCGGCAGAATCTGTTCACTTTTGTTATTCAATCCCTCCCCCCACCCCCCCACCCCCAAACACACGCTGTCCTCCTTTTCAGGAACCCAAATCTGGTCACCCTAATCTATCCAGCAATGCAGGCTTATAATTGTTTCAAAAATGAAATGCAATCAAGCTGATCCACTTAATTTCTTTAGTTTATAAGTTGCCAAGTTGAAAAAAACAAGTTAAGACAATTCGATTAAATCACATGTTATCAATTAGAGCAATTTATTTAAATTGAAGCTGATGCCATACCTTCATGGCACACCATTCGTTCTGGACGCTCTTATAGGGAGCTTCTAATTAGCCCACAGAAGGTGGTGTAGATTATAGTTTTTGTTGCATGCGAATCTTTTAGTATTTGTTTTATGTTTTACTGTTGTTTTGTAGCACATTGATATACTTTCAGAAGTCATCCACAGCAAAATATAATGCTAATGACAACTAGGTAAACTTTCACAGGACAGATTTCACCTTTTAAATTGATGTCTTGGCTTATTTTCTATTATAAGATCTTCTGGTTAAAGAGCCTGTAACTCCCCCTAGTGTTTTTTGTATAGATGATACCTGAACTCATCTTTCTCTTCTTCCACACAGATGCCGTTTGACATCAGGGAAAATAATTATCCTGTCCCCATTAGATGCTGGTTTTGCTGCGGCTGCTGTGTCACGGGTGTCTGCGGCTTGTGCTGCAAATGAAATTCTGCTGTGCTGAGAATATTCTTTTTTAACCACCATTGATATTTGTTCATGTTGTCTTCAATTCAATATGTGATGTCACTGAATGTGTTCAATGGTTTAGACACCAGAATACTTTTCCACTTACATTTAAATCTTGAAAAACCACTTACTGTAGAATAAAATTAAAAATGTCTGTATATTAAGTGTGTTTCTGTAAATTATTTGCAACAAATGTAATACATTCATCAGCAAATTGAGCCTGTAAAGTCCTTAGGATTTAAGTGCAATCACATGATTTCCATCACTGGTACTGTTTAGGAGATAATATCCTGTACTAGCTTCCAACAAACAATACTTCCAGCAAAAATATTATCTTCCAAGGGAGTTGTGCTGTCCAAGTTCAAACCAAGCACAGCTTCGTGGCGGTTCACTTATTATCCAGCAGAGAACAGGGAGGTATGGCATGTGGCCATGGCGGTGTGGATATTATTGTGTTACTTGCAGCTTGGCTTGATCGTGCCTCACAGTTCTAACAACCACAGAGGTCAAATAAACAGCCTGGTGTTAAATTTGCGCAAAAAAATGATTAAGGAACACACAGACTCAGACAAGTTGTGTGACAGAGTGATGAACAGCGAAACTCTGTACAGAGAGGTCAACACGCTTTAAGTGACAGGCAGAACAATAGCCAACCTTTGGTTGCTTTTTAAACTTGTGTGGTTTCACTTTAATTGCCCCTGTTCTCAAAGCAGTGCATATGCATGCAAAAACACAAGTTTTCTCACATCCACACACATGCACAGACTGGCTGTCTGGAGCCTAGCAGGCTTCTGCTCTGATACCACCCTCATGCAGCCTTGCAGGGGGCTGCATTCCGTGCCAAACCTGCCTCGCGTCCAGACAGATGCCCGTTGCACACCCCCTCACCAACATCACCGCTGCCAAACCACACAAGGAGATAGTAAATGAATGCGGAAGGTTCTAGTCAGCTTCCTCTCTCACACACTAACCATGTGGTTTATTTTTCTCATTCATACCCACATGAATGTGAAGGACATGCAAAGTAGCAGGCAGGCAGCAATTAGGGGCCTGTTCATCAGTGAACTGCAACACAGTAGCTCTATAAATCTCCACACTGGTGTGTTAAATAAAAAAAAACTAAAATACCTAAGTGGTAAACAGAGATTTACTGAGAAAGAATGGCAAACAAGTACAAGAAACAACAGCAATGCATCTTGGATGTCAGGAAAAAAGCTTGATGAAAGTAAATTGTAACAGTAAAGAGATTGCCATTTACTGTACTTAAGTGGAGGAGGATGCTGTAGGAGTAAATTCCAGCTAAAAATCTGTAGAAATATACAGACTTCATGGCAAAAAGAGACATGGATGATGTTGGCAGTCAGTAACAGACAGGAAGAGAAAGAGGGAGTTAATGAGGTATTGTGGAGATTTGCTCATGGGATTTAAGGATGTTAAAGAATATGACAGTGAATTCTTTATGGAAGGAGCCCATATTTCTGTATTTATCTGGGAAGTCGGCATGTTAGAACAATAAAGCCAATTTATGTTTAGTCTGATTTCTATAAAAAAAAAAACAACAAGCTTATGTGTTGATAATGTATTTGTACCAATCACTTAGAAAAACTCAGGTAATTTCTTAAATTTATTTGGATTATCATTCCATTTTAAGAAAAATAAACTGTTATTAATTGTTTCTTTCATCTAAATAGGTTTACAAATCTTTTAGAAAGTATGATTCTACCTTTAGAACTATAAGTATTCAAATATGGCGAGCTTGTCTGTTCTAGTATTTGAATAGAAGGCTTAACCTTCAAGAGAACAGGCATCAAGGTGGTTCGGGGCACCTGTGGAGGCCCACTGGTTCCCAGGACTCTGGTTGGTGAAGGGGAAAGCCAAACTGTTGGATCCTCCATGTGGTGACACAAGGAGTCTCTGGGGAGTCTCTATATGATCTCTGTTAAGGTGGCATAGGCAGAAGTGGAGGTTGGGTAGGTTCATTGGAGGAACTGGGGTTGGGGGCGATCAAGCAGGTAGTGGGCTTATACACTTACTGTAACCACAATTTTAATCCAGATGGTATGGCTTTGGGGCCACACATCAAAGTAGAGGTCATGCTGCTGGCCCAGTCCATTTTTACAGTGATTGGTTTGTATTTTATTTTGTTTGCTTTCTGAATGATATTCCTAGGTCAGGCCATAATTACAAATTACATCATGCAGTTACAAAGGTGTGTTATGGGGCATTACTGTTTCAGAACTACTCTGATCAAAGAAGGATCAAAAGAATGAAGAAGAAAGTCCAACTGATCAGGATAAAAACTAGATCTTCATTGTTCCCCAATCCAATTCACAACAAACTGTTCAATTCAGTTTATTCATATACATCATATACATATACATTTAAAACATGTCATGTCAAAGCACTTTAGATAAACAATTCAATCAGATCATACAGTCTTTTGGTTCAAAGTTTTCTATCTAAGGAAAACCAGCTGATTGCATCCTCTCATTGACTCCCCTCACACCAAGCATGCTTGTAGAAAGGAAAAACTCCTTTTTAATAGGAAGAAACATCCAGCAGAACCAGACTCAGAGTGAGCAGCCATCCATTTTGGTTGTGCTAGGGTGACTTTGCCTACTTGGTCTTTCACTATTTTATGAAGCCCCACAAGACATTTTTAAACTCTTTCTCTTCAGCTTCTTCCTTTCTTAGAAATGTACTCAGGAAGATGGACCTTCATGCTGCCCAAGTATATCAGAGCTTCATCTACACACTATTCTAGTGCAAGCTGACAGGAGTGACAAAGAATCCTAAGTATGTGTTGAAAGGTGTTCAGAAAAAATGAGCTAAAGTCCAATTGCCTCCAATATAAGCATGTTTGGTGTTTGCCATGACCTGGATGAATGAGAATTCACCCAAGCATGCTCAATGTTTCCTCCTCTTCTTCTGATTGGGGAGTGGCGACCTAGAGGTAAAGGGATAGAGCTTGGAATCCTGAGGTTGTGAGTTTGAAAACTCACTCCCACAGACTGCTACTGTGGGTCTCTGAGCAAGACCCTTAACCCCCGATTGCTCCCTGTTCGCCCCACGATGGCAGCCCATTGCTCCCTAAGGGGATGAGAAAAATGCAGAGGTAAATTTTTTCAATGTGAGATCAATAAAAGTTCAATTATGATGCACTGTCCTTACATCACAACCACTTTTCCTGTTTCTTTGGTACACCTGGACTCGGCATGTTTTCACATTGCAAGACCAACAATTGTTGCCGTGCAAGGGTACAGTTCTCTTGACCTACTCACTATCCAGGATGTGTTCCTACAGACTGCCACCTAGTGGCTATAGTAGTCACAAGTTTTTCACACAATTTGTGAAACACAGGGAGCGTGGGTGAAGTGTCCATTTCCAACTAGCACCCACTGTACCTCCATAGCAAGCTTTAGAAACCAGACTCTGTCATGATTGAAGTATTCCAAGGATTTGGTATAACAGCAATGTACTGCTGCCGTTCTTACAGAGACATCCACAACTCAAGTTCTGCATGAAAATTCTTACCCTCTATTTTCTGCTTTTCTCCCAATTGTGGAATGAAATTATTATTAGAAAGGCAGAATAAAATTGAGGCAGTCATGATTTAAAGAAACAGATTATTTCATTTAATTAAGCATCAAATTTCTGGGTTGGTAAAATCATTTGATAAAGAAAGCTTTAAGCATAATATTTTAGGTAATATTTTATTTTGTTTTAATCACTATTTGCTAAACCCGGGAGACAAGGGTTCACTTTCTACGTTTAAATAACTTTCTACATTTAATTGCTTGAGCCAGTTACAGCTGAGGATGGATATTATTTCCAAGGTTATAACACAGGCCACTCTACACAGCAAACGCCATTTACAGCAATGGATGCACAAGCAGACACTTATTATAGAACTATACCATAAAGAGTTTCTCTTTAACTGAGTTAAACACATTTCTACAACCCACAGTGCGAAGGAAGATGATGTCTATGTATATTTGCTGCAGCATCACATCCTCCAATCTTCTTGGGGATACTTAGGAACAACACCCCTCTGCAGCCGCTGCACTCCCACCTTCTCACCATGCCTTGTGGGGGCAATCAGACCTGACTTCTCATTACAGGGGTAAAGACTGTTTGTACATGTGGATGTGTATGAATGGATATTTCTTCCACGGACCCTCCACATGGAGGCAAAGGTTGCTTGGGAGGCATGCTGCTGCATAATCCAGCCCCGAAAGAAGGCTGGTTAGGGGATAAACATTCCTGGACAATGAAACCCTCCTTTACCCCCTACCGTATTCATACCCACTTAAAATCTACTTACCCACAATGCAACATTTGGCTCAAGTAAAAATGCCCCCTGCATCCAACATTGTACCACAGCACAGCAACAATAACCTGACTAGCAGAAAGCCACAAGTGTCAACAATGGCTTACATACAGTCCTTCTGGGCCCTTATTGAGCACATAATATCCATTTCAACTGGCCTTAATGTACTTTAATAAGATCTGGTTTAGATTAATTCACCCCTGAAACCGGTAGTAGCACAGCTACTAGGCAGTGAGCACATATAAAAACTGAATGAATGGAGTGGGGCTGCCAGAGAGTCATGAGAGGGAAACAGGAATCCTTGTGGATTTGTCCTCACCAGCTGGCACCCCAGTCCAATATAATTGTTGAGCGTATGGCTCTCAAAGCAGCCATAAGAGGAAATGTTTGCCCGCTCTGTAATGTGTTTAAGGTGGGCAGTATGATTCAGTCCGTGTGAGTCGTAAAGCCCCTTCATATCACATCCTGAGTGGAAGAACCTAGCTACCCTCCATGTATTCCCCTCAAGCAAATAGGGACAATGGGCTTGTGTTTTTTTTGGATCCCAAAGCAGAAGAAAAAGCCAGGTATTCCAGTGGAACGTGGAGCTAAATAAACTCCAATAGAAGTTCCAATTGCACCCTTAGGAAACGCCGCACAAGGCTGAAATAGAGGAAGCCGTCTGTTCCATGGAATGGATGGTAACAAAAATAGAATTAAAAAAAAATCAACAATTTCCACATCCCACCTCTGCACCTGTTCAAATGGATCCCAACTGAATTATATACAGTGACTCATTAGCTA